GCACGTGCGCGCAAAATGACCTTTGTTCCGCAAATCTACATAGTGCATACTGACCCTAAAAACATTTCACCTAAATCGGATGTGTAGTTTACAAGATCATTCGTGACAAAATTTTCCCGAGAAGAAAAATAATAATAATAATAATAAGAAACAGAGTCAATATGTTCCCCAACTGTCCGTTTGGTCTGAACATAATAAGAAACAGAGTGTAAACATTGTTCAACTTTTTGGGACAACATAATCTTAAGAAACAGAGTAACCACAATATGTTCCCAAATGGGGAACATAATAATAAGAAACAGAGTAAAAACATCCTTCCCCAACTTCGTAAAGGGGAACATAATTAAATTGAATAGACATGTAAGACTCCGTGGATTTAGCCCATGTTCACTGGGATATATCGTATCGGCATAAGAACGGTAATAAACATGGTAAATTGACAATAAGTAGTCGATATATCTAAATGTCCAGTTGAAGGCCACAACTAGTGTTTTCTTCTTTTGCAATAAGATTTTGGACAACTGTTGCTTCATATGAATACAAAAACAGGTCTGCAAATATTATGCAATTGGTACCCCATAGAATTCCGATAGATTGTTGAAAGACCTTGTCTATAAAAACCACATATATATTGTCAATTAAAAACCCAAGCATCTTTTTTATTTTAACCACAGAGTACTTGTGTCATAGTGTGCACAATCAGAATGTTTTTAACAAAATAATGTTGAAAATGATCGATTTTAGGTAAATAAATTTACGAGTTTCATTTTTATTGAAAAAAATTGTCAATGGTATCAGAAAGCCTGGACTTTTTCGTGCCAGAAATTGTTTTGTATAAAGTAAAAATGTCGTTTAAGTTTTTAAGCTGTTGATTTTTGTAATATCTTTTAATATATAAAGTTTACCAAAAGTTCCTTAGATACACACCACTTCTGAAACAATTGTTCATAATACTCCTGAAGTTTTTCCATCACGACTGTTAAAATGTTTGTGAGGAGTAAAAAAAGAGGCTTGGATAAACATTTACTTGAACCTGCTATGTATATTTGTAAGAATTTTTATTAAGCTTCGGAATTATATAGATAATTAGATATTGTAATTCAATTTGTTTTGGATGTTTGGAATATTAAAAGTATTCCAAACTGACATACGATTTTGAAGAATTTCCCCCTTAGAAAGATTAGAAGTTGGATTCCTACTTGTAGATCTACTTAAGGTACATCTATACTCTGATAAGATATTTAACTATTAATGACACAAATGTCTATTATTCCTATATACATTTGTCAAGTTTAAGTGCCGTTTTTGTCAAATTTTGCCCCGCAAGCCATGCTATAATTGTTTGCATTTTATTCAGCAGATACATTTCCTTTGGAAAATCATAAAAGTTGAGGAAAAATTTCATTTGAGGTAGCAGAGAGTTTATGAACTTTAAATCCAAGTTCCTCTAAAATACATTTTATATAATAAGCCTTACAAACAAAGACAATGTTGTTACCTGCTTTGCCAGCATTCATTTTCATCAATCAAATCTTAAGTCTTCAGGAATAATATAAAATACAGGAATTTTTTTCAATTAGCAAGTTTTCGTAAAGTAAGCGGTATTGAAAGTGCATGGGTACAGATTTGAGGTTAATATTTTCTGTATAATATTACTGATATATTTTAATAGCAATTCATGCAAAAATAAATTTAAAATCTTATTTCATTAAAAGTTATTAATTCTTCGAATTTTTACACGGGTTTGAAGGACACATCCATGCTCTTTCACAAATTTTAATTTTATTCTTAATTTTACTAATGAAAAATATTTCAACTATAATCCAAAAAATTCAGAGTAGAAATGTTCGAAAGCAAAATATAGACACAGTTTATTGTCAGTCCGTGCAGTTTTGGCGAGCAGACTTTAACAACTGAACGCTCCCGGTGAAGCGTAGACATCAACTATAACATAGTTCGTGTCCTGTTAATAAAAACTTTACGTTTCACGAGTGTGATCAATTTGCTTAACTCTGTACACAAGACCTGGCGCGGAATAACGTTACTTGTGAAGGGTTTTTGCTTTCTAACATTTCTACTCTGAATATAATTATTTTTCTGGATTAAAGTTTTAATATTTTTAATCATTTTTTCATTAATACAAAACAAGATTGCAACTTTTCCTAAAAGAATAAAATTAAAATTTGTCAGAGTGCAAGGATGTGTCGATCAAATCCATCCAAAAATTTGTAATTTCAATAACTTAAAGAAAATAACTTTAAGATGAGATAATTTTTAGCTCTACTGGTCAGAGACCAGAAGAGCTTATGTAGCAATGCCAGACAAAAATTTTAAAATGAAAATTTTAAATTTTTTTTGTTGTGGGTGCTTTTTACAGCCTATTTAAAAGTCAAAACAGAAAACATTAACTTGATACAACAATTTTTAACAAAATGACAGACGTTTTAGTACGGCACCCCTGTGAAATATGAAAAACAGATAAATTACAAAAACCAGTAAAATGCAACCCCACTCCAGTTGACCACTAAAAAAGTCAAATTTCTACATTTTATGACTTCTAGGTGATAGGTATATGTCTCTACTAATAATTAAGACTAAAAATTAAAATTCCCCATCAATTATGGGACAGTCAATACCATGATAAATACGACAATTTCAATAAAGTGTAAAATGAAAAGAAACCAAATTTAAGCTTAAAATCATATTTAAAATTTCAGCTACTATTTCACAGCATTAATAAGTTTTGTGTTATATTTCAAAATGTCAGATTAATGTATAGATAATAAAATGTGCCTTTATATCCATACAATCTTATTTACATTTTACTTATAGCATATGAGCATGACAACAAGTTGTATTAATTACATCAAGTGTATGTCAGAGTTGATTTATAGGGTTTTTTCCCTTTTCAATTAAAAGGTAATGAAATTGAGAAGATTTTTAAACCAATAAATGTTACAGTTACTTAAGATTTGAATAACAAGAACAGAAAAAAATGTTTATTAATTATAAACAGCACCCCAGTACTCCGAAGCTGAAACAACGTTGAAAATCAACATACCAACATTTCTCCAAGTTAAAAACTGTTTAGCATGCTAGGTTATAGCTAACACCCCCTATTCATACTTCAAATGAGATTACTGAACAATTCCCAAGTCATTAAGTTTATAAAATAAATGGTGTTGTTATTTAAATTAATCTATGCTGTAAATTGAAACAAAATGATCAATTGCAATTATACTGATCCACTGTGTTTCAAAGAACTACTAGTATCAAAGAATTCTGAACAGAATTTTTTATGAAAACTTACAAAAAAAAAAAATAAATTATCAGTTAGTAAGTCACTAAGTGTCATCTTTAAAAGTATTTCAAAATGTTTGGTCTTAACATTCTTGAACATTGATTTTTATTTATTTTTATAAATACATACACGTGCATGCATAGAATTACTTATTCGTGACAATGTGATTATACTCACATCACTTGTATCTAGGAATTTTGTTTGAGAATTTTTAGATGATCAACTAATTTTTAAAGTTTTCAAAAAGATTATTTTCATTGATTGCCGTATTATTTGCATAGTGTACGTTGTATTTCTATAGTGGTACTGACGTGTCTTTCCTAGCACTGACAGTCGTGATTTTTCTCACAGATAATATTAAAAATATGTCTTCACAAGTGTAATACAGCAAAATATACATTGCAATACTTCCTACACATTGTTTGGGGCTTTAAACGTCATTAACGAGTCAAATTTGCCACGAAGATTAACATACGAATTTCCTCTGTCCCAACTTCCGGTTAAGGGTACATGAGATTATCGAATGTTTTCAAGTATATTACGTAGGCAAACTTGAATGAAATCTCTTGATATCTGTAGTTTATACAATAAACCTGTGGAATATCACCCCTTTTTTCGCGTATTCGATCGTTAAAGCTGAAAAGGGCAGTTGATAAAAATTCAATTGCGCTTACTAACAATGCCTCATGAGATTTTCCCGGTAAAATGTTGATATACACTTAGTTCAAGGTCATAACTTTCAGAATATCCACCAATCAAAACATAGGAGAAGGCAGGGAAGGTGTCAAGATGCGTAATATAACATGATGTGCATCGGGGTCGAAATTCCTTGTGTTTACAAAACTGTGCGCGCGCAGCGCCACCTATACCGCTGGCATTGCTAGCTTATGCGATAGTAATGCGTCCGGCGTCCATCCGTCTGTCTGTCCGTCTGTCTGTAAACAATTTTTCAAAATGCTACCCCTCCTACAATTTTAGCCTGATTTCGATATTACTTGGCACACAAGTAGACTACACTAAGATACATAGAATAGTGCATCGGTTTTTAATTTCAATGAACGGTGTTGCCATGGTGACTAAAAATAGAATTTTCTGTGAAATTCCTTAAAAACGCTACTCCTTCTACAGTTTTGGTCTGATTTCAATATAACTTGGCACACAAGTAGACTATACTAAGATACATAAAATAGTGCATCAGTTTTTGATTTCGATGAACGGTGTTGCCATGGTTACTAAAAATAGAATTTTCTGTGAAATTCCTTAAAAACGCTACTCCTTCTACAGTTTAGGTCTGATTTCAATATAACTTGGCACACAAGTAGACTACACTAAGATACACAGAATAGTGCATTGGTTTTTGATTTCAATGAACGGTGTTGCCATGGTTACTAAAAGTAGAATTTTCTTGTAAAATTCCTTTAAAACGCTACTCCATCTAGTTTTAGTTTGATTTCAAAATAAGTTGGCACACAAGTAGTCTACACAAAGATATATAAAATAGTGCAATGGTTTTTGATAACTACAAACCAGTAGAGCTACAGTCTCGACAGAGACTTCTGGTTAAGTATATTTATATGAAATACTACAATGTATTAAAATATATAAGTCGTGATATTACATTGTATACAGAAAATTATCACTTCAAATCTTTATCCATGCACCTTTAAGAGAACGTTGCATTATTTAGAGGTTATTTTACCTGGAAGCACCGTGCAGTGATTAACGTTTGCCCCTGCTTTAATTAGCCCTTTGATTATGTCTTCATTTCCACGAATCAAAGCAAAGAATAGTAGAGATTCATTCATTAGTTTCATGCAGTTAGGGTCTGCTTTCTTTTCAAGAAGGTAATCGATTAGCGAATGACTTCCAAGCTTAACAGCGACACACAGTGGAGCAAGTCCACAGGGCGTTTTGATGTTCACATTTTCGTTGTTTTTTTCGATCAGTATCTTGATGATTTCACAGCATATGTTCGATTCACCTAATAAAAAAAGGAAATGTCACATTTTGTTTCAGTTTTACGGTAGAACATATGAATAACCGAAAATAGTCTATAATAATCGAAATACTGTATGCCTGATTTGAAATAAAAAAAAATTGCTGAAAAATTAAGCTCATTTTGAATTTTTTTTATCCATAGAAAGAGCCATGATTAAAAACCTGAAAATGTTTCACCCTCATACCACGCTACAAATGTATGGCACGATAGATGCCAAGTGACGCAGACGATGTAAGAAGTAAATATTAACCGACTACTAGTACTCATTTTCTAATTGAAAAATTCTCATTTGGCATATTTTTGTAATTAGAAATTAGATGTCTCCAATAACTATACAATAATAAAAATGCATGATTTTCATACTTATACGGACTAAAGATTTACCAAATACTAACATTTTTACAAATACATTCGTAAAACTATTATGATAAGCCAGATAAAATATTCAGTAAACCAACTTTTATTCGCGTGCGAGAAATTTTCGCCAGAGCCTCATCATCGCGAATATTTCTCGCCGCAAACGGGTCCGTAAAGTCTTTTTTCTATCAAAAAAAGTTCAAAACAAGAGATGTTTGTATAACACTTATGCCCCCTCCCTCAAAAGTGGATTTTTTGTAAGTCCAAAAGTACAGGACTTAACTCTGTCTAAAATGGTGCGATCCTACCCAAAACAGAACTTGACCTTGATATTCAGCTGAAAAATCTGTATATTAAATTTCATTTCATTATGTGCAACCTCTGCAAAGAAAATGAACGGAAACTGCAAATAAGTGGAATTTTTCTAAGTCCGAGGGGCATAACTGTCAAAAATGGTGCAATTGTACCCAAAACAGAACTTGATCTAGATATGCACCTGATAAACTTGTATACCAAATTTCATTCCAGTTTGTGCAACGATTGTGAAGAAAATGAACGGAAACTAAATGGACCGACATACAGACCGACCGACAGACAGCAGCAAAGCAATATGCCCTCCCTTCTTTTAAGGGGGGGGGGGGGCATAAAAAGGCTTGATCGCGAAAGTAAATCGTCGCGAACTACTTTATTTCCTGTAAATCGCTAAATAAAGTCGTCCCGAATAATAGTTGTTTTACAGTTCTTGGATTTATCCAAAAATAAAGTTTTTATTATTGTTCTTGATTGAGTCCTTTCAAACTTTTAAAATGTTCTTTCTGTGAAGACTTGAATCATACTGTTTGAGTACTTTTTGCTAGTTGATATCAGTTTAAATTATTCACAACATAATTTAGCGAATGAAATGAAAATTTCTATTTACATGTAGTAAGCTTGCAATTATACATGAAAAATTATACTTAGATCGTTATGTACATTTTCTTTGCTGTTCAGATAATTTCTGAGATCTTTTCTTTGTTAAAATCTGTAAAAGAAAATATTAAAGTTAGAGTCACAGTAATAATCTTAAATCAATAATTTTTTGACAAAATGCTTGTACGCATTGTAATTATCATATACTCTTAGTGGTTTTACGAATTTCCTCTTGTGATACTATTCCTCTATTAACTTACGTGTATATGCACTTGTTATAAAATTATTTTTGCTGACGATTGCAGGGTCGTTGTATCGAACATAGAACTTTCTAAATAACTTTACTTTAAACGAGACTGTAGATGTTCTTGTTTCATATTTAGAACACGCTCTTGCGTATCGAATCAACTGAAAAAATTCCGTTCGGCGAGGAAATACGATTCGTGAAACGAGCTTGGGGTGAAGTTAGCCCGAAAACAATTCAGATCTGTTGGATCCGTAGCGGACTGACAGAGAACGATCAGGATGGTCATATTGTAACTGCAACTGCCGACTCACGGAACAGCGAACTTTCAGATCTGTTAGCGAGGCATAGCTATGTGCTTAATTAGTTTATTTAATACTCAGAAGCAGAGAAGAAGATTTTCAAAGAATTAATGCATTTTCACTATATGATCTATAGAGCCCCGCCCTAACACCAGAACCCCTGACCCTGGGGCCATAAAATTCACAAATCTGGAAGAGGCACTCTTGCTCATCATAACTATGAGCTTAGTTATTTTATTTAATATCCAGAAGCAGAGAAGAAGATTTTCAAAGAAATAATGCATTTTCACTATATAATCAATAGAGCCCCACCCTAGCCCCAGAACCCCTGAACCAAGGTCATGAAGTTCACAATTTTGGTAGAGGACTCAATGCTCATTACATTCATGCTAACAGTTTGACTGCTTGATGTCCAGGAGTAAAGAAGATTTTTAAAGATTGCAATAATTTTAGTGGTTTTGGCCCCACCCCTCAACCCCCAGGGGGGCAGGGACCATGAAATTCACAATTTTTGTTTCCCTTTACCCATAGATGCTGTTTACCAAATTTGGTTGAAATTGGTTCAATGGTTTCAGAGAAGAAGCTGAAAATGTTCAAATTTTAACACACGACAGACGATGACATACGAAAACGGATAGCAATAGGTCACCTGAGAACCTAAAAATAGGTCTGCATTTGGTACGTGGAGCAATCGGTAACCATTAGAATTCCAATATATTATTTTCTCCATGGTCTCCAAAACAACATAGATATTGTCAATCAGACAAAGTTAATAAATATTTATGATCCATATAGAAAATGTAATAACGGTCCCTCATCCAAGCATACCTTTAGGGATGTGAAGGATGAGACATTCTATGTAATGATCCTGAGGCTCAAGAGGGTATCATATAGCATTTGTTTCCTTGTGTAGCGAAGCATAACTGAGAAGATCTCAATTCAAAGACTTAAAAATAGTGTGTCATGTGACTACACTCGGAACCCAACCCATACAAGAGGCCCAAGGGCCTTGAATCTTTCTTCTGATAAATTATACAATCTATCCTAAGACCTAAGATACAATTTGAATGAAATTTTCTTAGAACACAAGATGCATTAATTGACAAAGATTGATGATTCTAAGCCAATAAGTAGGTACTTGAGATATTCAAAAGTGGGTCACAGTGACCTACTTATTGGTCAACATTCTCCGAAAACCCAAGGTGCATCAACTGACAAAGTTTGACAATTCTAAGCCAATAAGTACCCTCTTAAATATAGCCATAAAATGTCAAAAGTAGGTCACAGTGACCTACTTTTAGGTCGACATTTTCCGAAAAAACCAAGATGCATCTACTGACAAAGTTTGATGATTCTAAGTCAATCAGTACCTGAGATATTCAAAAGTAGGTCACAGCGACCTACTTTTTGGTCAACATGCTCCGAAAACCTAAGATGCATCAAATGACAAAATTTAATGATTCTACGTAAACCAAATAGTAACTGAGATACATAAAAAATTTCCATAAATTGTCAAAAGAAGGTCACTGTGACCTACCTTTTGGTTGACATTCTCCGAAAACCCAAGATGCATCTACTGACACATTTTGTCAATTCTAAGCCAATAAGTAACTTAGAATAATTAAATATAGCCATAAAATGTCAAAAGTAGGTCACAGTGACCTACTTTTAGGTCGACATTTTCCGAAAACCCAAGATGCATCAACTTACAAATTTTGATGATTCTAAGCCAATAAGTACCCGAGATACTTAAATCTAGCCATAAAATGTCGAAAGTAGGTCACAGTGACCTACTTTTTGGTCGACAGTTTCTGATGACCAAAGATGCATCAACTGACAAAATTTAATGATCATAGGTTAAATAGTATTCAAAATAGGCCTTTTAAACAATTTGAAAACAAATGCCAGCAAAATTCAAAAAGTAGGTCACAGTGACCTACTTTTTCAATTATATGTTTTAAGGTCCCAAGATGCATCAACTTAGAAGATTTGGTGATTCTAAACCTCTCAGGGTCTGAAATAATGGGATTAAATGTTTTAAAAAGAATTAGTCATAAAGTTCAAAAAGTAGGTCACGGTGCCCACACTGTGACCTACTTTTGAGTTAACATGATGTGAAGTCCTAAGATGCATCAACTTACAAGATTTGATGATTCTAGTCCTTATAGTAAGTAAAATATTAACATTTTTATTAATTGTAAATTTAGGTCAACTTTGAAGTGACCTTGAGACCACGCCCTTTGCCCCAGGGTCATACCTTGAACAATTTTTCATCTTTGACATATCCTGATCCCTGTATGTAAGTTTGGTGAAAATCTGCCTGGTGGTTCTGGAGAAGAAGAATTTTTAGCAACCAGTACTTTTGGTTTTGTTTTCCTGATTATCTCCCCTTCTTTAAGGGTCCCAACCCTTATTTTAGTACAAAGGGTAGCCCTTGGCCCTGTGACAAATTTGACACTGATTGGCCAAGGGGTTCTTGAGTTATGGCCCATATTCTAAAAAGTTAACGCACACCGCACAAATGGCCATAGCATTAGCTCTTTGAGCCTTTGGCTCAGAAGAGCTAATAAAAGCGACTGTCCACGTGTGGATATCATAATTTACAGAATTTGTGACAACCCACAAAAAGGGTTGGGAAAATCAAAACATGAAAGTCTGTTAAATATGGGTGGGTATATGATACCCTCTTGAGCCTCAGGCTCATTACATAGAATGTCTCTCATCCTTCACATCCCTAAAGGTATGCTTGGATGAGGGACCATTCTATTACATATCGCCTTTCGGCTCTACGATGGTATCATATTGCATATTCAAAGTGTTGTCACAAAATAACAAACACAACAAGAAATATTTTATAAACACATTGAATGTTTAATCAAATGAAATGATATCAGCCATTTATTTACACAAAAAAGAAAAACTTCACTTGAATCACTGTCTTTTCATATTATTGTCCAACACACTTTTCGCAAAGGAATTCTGCACAGGAAGTTCTTTCAAATAATGCGCATGGAAAGTTTTTGCAGAGGTCCAGTTAGCTAAATCCATGATTTCCTTCATGGAGGTGCAAGCGTTATATGCCAGGGATGCTGCTGTTCCCCTAAAGGAATGAGCGGTAAAGGTATCAATTCCAGAGGAAAGTAAAACTTCTTTCAATCATCTAGCTAGTGTACAAGTTGTCACTTTCAAATAAGTTTTGTATGCTATAAATAAACAAGAGGCCCATGGGCCACATCGCTCACCTGAGCACTGTGGCTAGGAAAAGTAGAAATTGGTTAATTATTGAAAAATTCAAATCCAAAAGTAGTTCCATGACCAACCATGGCTTTGCTATTCTTGAGAAGATGATTTTTAAAGAATTTTTCCTATATATTTCTATGTAAAACTTTGGTCAGCCATTGTGGTCCCGCCCTACCCCCGGGGATCATGATTTGAACAAACTTGAATCTACACTACCAGAGGATGCTTCCATATAAATATGAATAATTATGGCTTTGCTATTCTTGAGAAGAAGATTTTTAAAGAATTTTCCTATATATCTCTATGTAAAACTTTGGTCGGCCATTTTGGCCCCGCCTTCCCCCCGGGGGTCATGATTTGAACAAACTTGAATCTACACTACCTGAGGATGCTTCCACATAAGTTTCATCTTTCCTGGCCCAGTGGTTCTTGAGAAGAAGATTTTTAAGACATACCACCAAATTTTCATTAATTCCCAATTATCTCCCCTTGAATGAGGGCTTGGCCCTTCATTTGAACAAACTTGAATCCCCTTTACCCAAGGATGCTTTGTGGCAAGTTTGGTTGAAATTGGCCCAGCGGTTCTTGAGAAGAAGTCGAAAATGTGAAAAGTTGACAGACGGAGACAGACAGACAGACGCACAGACGGACGACGGACAAAATGTGATCAGAAAAGCTCACTTGAGCTTTCAGCTCAGGTGAGCTAAAAAGGACTTTTGCGTACATCCTTTGTTATCTTTAAATATTCTGTTAAAGTATCAAGAACACAAAGTTCTTTTTCATCATATTTATGGAATGTGACTGAAGGCAATACAATACCTGGCCTTGAAGTTTTCATAAGAGTATGAATTTGAGACACAATTTTATCATTGTAAATTTTCATATAATCTAAATTCAAAGCTGAGAGACTTTGTGCTCTTGCAGCAGTAGTTCGTGCACAAAGTGCTACTAATTTTAGTGTCAACATTTTGAGATTCAATGTTTGAACTGGATAAAGGCCGCTTAAGAAATGCAAAACTTTTGAGACATCCCATGTCATTTTACATTTAGGTACAGGGGGATTTAAATTATAATATCCCTTTAATAAATTTGGAATCAGAATCTGGTTATTTACCCATTTCACATTGAAAAATGAAAGGGTTTGTAAAAGCATAGCTTTATTTGAATTTATTACTGAATATGAACATTTTTGTTTCATTAAATGTGCCAGATATTTGACAACATTCACCTCAGACGGTTGATACGGATTAACTTTCCATTTACCACACCAAAAAACCCATTTTTGCCAAGCATATTGATATTGTTTATTGGTGGTTGGTCTAAGGGCTGCATTAATAATTGAGCATTCAAATTCTGGAATTCACTGACTCTCAAGGTGTTTCCTGATAGAACACAGGCCATCAAGGACATTTTCCTTACCATGGGATGAAACTCTCCAGTATGCGGCATGATCAAGAGATCCTTGCGCCCTGGTAACCTGGCAGGAACAGAAATTAAAGATGAAATTAACATTGGAAACCAACTTGGAGTTCTCCATAAAGAAATGATTGCAATAGCCTCCTCTACTTTATCTGAAATGATTTTATTTCTTATTTTCCCTATTAATCTGAAGGGAGGAAAAATATATGGTTTTAAATTGGTCCAATTCTGGGAAAAAGCATCAGTATCGGCAGCATCTGGATCAAATACCAAAGAAATGAAATTGCTTAACTGTGCATTAAGTCTTGAAGCAAACAAATCAATGTCAGGAAAGAAAAAATGATGACAAATTCGAATAAAAATATCGGATTTTAACATCTATTCTTTAGAATCTGAGAATTGTCTTGAAAGAAAATCTGCTTTAACATTTTCCACTCCTGGAATGTTTAGCTGAAATAATATTTTTGTCTAAACACCAGTTCCAAATTTGAATAGCAACAGAATCAAGGGATTCAGAAGTCATTCCCCCCATGGAATAAATATAAGCAACTGCAGTAGTATTATCAGATTTAATACCAACGTGACAGTTTGAATAGCTTGCAAAAAGAGCTCTGAGTGCAAACTGAATAGCTCTAAGTTCCAATTCATTAATATGCATCTTAGATTCTAAAACAGACCAACGGCCTCCAGTAGACATCCTCAAAACTTGCTCCCCAACCTTGAAGTGATGCATTAGTTTCATCCCTGCTGTCAACTGATGGGTTGCGAATTAATTTCCCATTGAGATTTTTAATATTATGTGACCACCACGTTATTTCCTGAACACTATTTTCTGAAATAACCATTTCCGATTCATAATCTATAGAATTTTTAAGACTATTTATTTTGTCTCTTTCCAAATTTCTATAATGCAAAGGTCCAACAAATATAGCATTGAATGCATGAACAGTAAGACCAATCAAGGATGCAAATTTACGAATTGGAACAATTTGCTCGTGTAAAGTCTCTAAATATAATGTCATAATTTTTGATACCTTTTCATCAGTAAGAATGACCTTAAATTCCACAGAATCAATGATAAGGCCAAAAAATTTTATTCTTTGAGTGGGGCCCCGTGGGGATCCGGGTAAGAATAGGTCCTCAGTACCCCCTTGCTTGTCGTAAAAGGCGACTAAATGGGGCGTCCTTCGGAAGAGACTGTATAAATCGCGGCCCCGTGTCACAGCAGGTGTGGCACGATAAAGATCATTCCCTGCTCAAAGGCCGTAAGTGCCGAGCATAGGCCTAAATTTGCAGCCCTTCACCGGCAATGGTGACGTCTCCATATCAGTGAAATATTCTGGAGAGGTACGTTAAACAGTATACAATCAATCAATCATCTTTGAGTGGGTATCATTACTGACTCACTGACTTCTTGCGATTGATTGAGAAACCAAGATTGTCCAACTCATTTGTCACTATACCAGTTTCTCTCTTACATTTCTCAAAACATGTATTAACAATGAGAGAATCATCAATATAGTAACAACATTTAATATTCATAGATCTGAAGGCTGCAAAAACTGGTTTCAAAACTTTAGTAAAAATTCTTGGCGCAGAGGCCAGACCAAAAGGAAGAACAGTAAATCTATACAAACTGTCATTCAATAAAAAGCCAAATATTTCCTGAAATCTGGATGGATACTTATACTGAAATAAGCATCTTTAAGATCGATTGATGTCAAATAATCATATTTTTCAATTAGTTCCAAAGCAAAATGCAGATTTTCTTGCTTAAAATGTTGGTTTTCAATAAATTCATTAAGACTCTTTAGATTTATAATTGGTCTCCGACTTCCATCTTTCTTTGATACTAAAAAAATGTTAGAAATATATTCATCTGATGGATTGTAAACTTTTTCAATGGCACCCTTTGCTAATAACTGTTCTACTTCATTCTGAACCAGTTTTGAATCATTTTCATTAAAGGAGATTCCTTTTGGAATAAAAGATTGTTTTGGTTCCTCAATGAAATCAATTTTATAGCCTTCAACTGTGCTTAAAATCCATTTATCATTTGTAAAATTCTTCCAATAGTCAATGTTAAGCTTTCTCACCTTAACTATCTCTTCTGACTGTTTCTCTGATAATAACTTTAATTTGCTGCTGGGAATAGCTCTGTCCTCCTCTCTTGTAGCTCTTGCCTCCTCGAGGTCTGTATTGGTACCCTCTGTTTGGATACGTATAACCTTGACCGTACTGATATGTTTGGTTGTGCTGCTGGAAATTTCCAGCAGCATCCCTGTAGTTTAAAGGAGCTCTGTTTCTGTATGCAGAGTAGTTTCCACCTTGCCCCCTGTTAGAGCTAAGGGGATACTTATTTTTGTCACCTATGTCTTTAAGTTTCGACATACAACTGTCACCACACAGATTTTCAGAAATAGGGACATCAGAACTACATATCTTTCTGTACCTAGGATTCAAGTGATTTCTGATCTCATGTCGTCTTTTCATTGACAAATTGTAAAACCCATAACCAAGAAGACTGATTGAATCAGACAACATTGCTTTTGTTTTTTGATTGTCGATTTCTTTATTATTTGCTAATTGATCTGCTAAATTGACAATAGATACTAAACCCTGAGCCAGAGACTTCTGTATCTCTTGAAAAGACAAATCAGAAGAATGAGCTTGTTTTCCGAGAACATCCCATATTTCCTTGTTTACCCGTGGAACTTTAAACAAAGTGCAATTTTCTGGTCTATTATATTTTTTTACCAATATCATTCATGGTTTCTTTTGAAAATTTTACAGAGAGAGCAGCGTTAACTGCTTTGGCTAGACCAGACCCAATTTTAGGGCCGGTAACCTCATCTAGATTTAGCTTTGGAATATTCCACGATGAATCATCATCTAAAGGTTTCTCAATTTCAACCGACTCAAAAGCATTCTGAAAAGCAACTTGAGGATCTACCCCAGGCAATGAAGGACTAGGGGGATTATCCAAATAGCTAAAATGGAAATCGTTTAAAGTCTCTTCATTATCAAAAAAATTTGATTCACCCTGATCTAAACTTAATATAGGTCTAGAAACAGTTGCACTGGGCAGACCAGTATTAACCGTGTCATGTCCCATATTGGGCGCCATACTTTGCCAATTTTGACCTACATGTACATCCGAAATTTTCTTAACAGACTCGGAAAGAGTAAAAATTGATTGCAATATAGTATCAATTCCTAGTGCAGATTTTAATTCGTTGATGTCTAAACAGGTAACATTTCCTGTTGATTTTTTTCGTGATACGTCTTTGTTTAGACGGTTTAACAGTGTTTACACCGGGCTCTATGGCCGACTTTCTCTTTTTATTGCCACGTGTTTTACACTGTGACTGTTTATCAGACCTAGTCTGCATTTTTCCAGTTTCATTATCAAAAATCTCTTCATCACTGTTTCCCCCCAGCGAGAGGACATCGTCTCTGTCGTCCAAATCCGACATTATCAATATAAGACAAAAACACGTGTTTAAACAGGTATTAGAAAAAAACACCTATTTAAAAGTAAAACGACCAGAACAGCGTTCTTGGTAAGATTACAAACAATTAAGTCACTTTATTATTTTTTCTCTGGACTTCGTCCTAGAGACGTATAGACTTAAAACGTTAAATATAAAACCCAACACACGAATACAAACGTGCGTATTTGTTATGCTCGCTCAAGAAAAAAGATGATATCCACACGTGGACAGTCGCTTTTATATGGGTTGGGTTCCGAGTGTAGTCACATGACACACTATTTTTAAGTCTTTGAATTGAGATCTTCTCAGTTATGCTTCGCTACACAAGGAAACAAATGCTATATGATATCCTCGTAGATCCGAAAGGCGATATGTAATGTAATGTCTATGTCTGAGTTGGATATACCCAAAAGAACATTGTAACTATTCTTTTTGTGAGACAGTCAGTTAAAATAAGCATCGAATCCAGCGCCAAAGAAAACCTAATGTACAATGTACGAGGTGGTCGAATGCCAGATTATTCGATGATGCTCTTAGATTACGATTTGCGATTTTTGAACTTAACAAGAAGAAAAACAAGAAAAACCCTGATAATTCGGTTTGTATACTGCACTCGCCGAGTAAATTGATGTCGTGTAAAACACTGGACAGTGAATAATTATTTGGAAAAGTTCATTTTCAGCGATGAAACTGCGAGTGTGATTGATCAGAAGAAGCGATATTACATGTGAAAAAGACTGGACGAAAAATGGCGACCTGAGTGCCTCGGCGACCGTGAAAAAAGTGTTTTTGACGATTTTGGTGTGTGCAATACTCATGAAGAGTCAGACAATTTACAGATGTCGTTACCAGTTCACACCTCTAACACAACGAAATTATGGAAAACCGGAAACAAAATTTCAAGTTTGACGATTTATGACAGACTTATACCATGGTACTGAATATCGAGACGCCATTATTTTCCCTTGGGGGGGGGGGGGGGGGCAGCAATTTTAAGACCTATTCTCCACACCCAAGGGCATTTAAAAAACTTTTTTGTTTCATCCACTACAACTTTTCGGGACCTCGATTTATACGATCTGGTCCGAAGGGCCAGTTTTCTTGTCTTGCAGCGGGAATCGAAACCAAAAGGAAAGGATTTAAGGATCAACTCATTACTCCGCAACTCTAGAGTACACGATCTTACCACTGCGCCACACAGGTGACTAACACCTTTATTCAATATTGTGAAAAATATGTTAATCAGAAAATAAGAATGACTTATCTCTTCAGAATAGATGTAACTGAATGTAGTAAGGGAGGATACCTTTTCTTTGCCCGAGAACGGCTTCATTTCTCCAGAGGTTGTTTCCATAGGTGTACGTTTTGTGGTGTCCTCAGCTAAATTTGTCCTTTGCTCCAACTCCACTTTACTCTTAGCAAACTCGAAATGATCAATAATGAGTCGTGTAGATTGCGAATTCGCTGTTAAAATTGTAAAATGTTCGGTTTTTGATATAATGCTTTTCAACAATACCTCTTAATTTTCATGCGACAGATATGAAGAAAAACACATACTTGTTTTTTATATTTCAATTTAAATTCAAAAATAATTTATACGACATAAAAATATTAATCTCTTCAACTTTGCTATTCAGTGTTACAGATGAATAGGAGCTAACAGAAATTTAAAATGAGTTTACTCACGCAGACAGCAGTACTGCTCATCATAAAATACCTTTTCTGAAATCAGTAGTGAAAGCTATAAAATAATGTTCTGTAAATTCACCGTAATGTCTTAGTCTTAACTTTGCAGACCAAACACTGAACGCCATAGCATTTTTTTAAAATACAAAATAGTCTACTCCCTAACTACATGTAAATATTTAACTATTAGTCTTAAAAAACTTATTTTTGACATGTAAATGTGATTTGTCACTAACTTATTGTTTAAATGTAAACTTATATAACTATGCCTACCACAAAACAATTTAATGACGGAAATGCCCTCATTGCTTTTGACAGACGTATCTGCGCCAGCTTCTATCAAAGCATAGGTAACAGAAGGATTCCGATATAGGGAAAGCACTAAAGGAGGTTCACCCCCTTCTTTGTATTTGTTGGGATCTGCTCCTTTACTCAGCATATCTTGTATAATAGCGTCTGTATTCGTATAATCCATAACTAATTGAAGTGGATATCTGCCATCGCTTAATGGCTCATTTAGGGGAAAATTTGCTTCAATTATAAGCGAGAGTATACGAAGCTGATTTTCACCGAGGTTTTCTACAAAGAAAATAGATAAATAAAGAATATATTTTCTTTAAAATTATTTTTTAATGCATTACTACTAAAAATTCTCCATCCACAAAATCAAGTCGCCATACACCAATATTTTCCCCTCAAATCTCGAAAATTTGACCCCATGTAAATTTTGATTTAACGGTATACATGTATCTTTTCATGTTTACATCACCTATTTCATCATTCAGACAGCAAGCTTCAAATGTCGTCATCTTGTTCCTTCCAATGTGACACACATCTGCCCCTGCCTCAACTAACGCACTCGCAACATCATCCATACCCGGCGTCTGTATTGCCTGTATTAAGACAGAGTCCTGGCCTGGTGTGGCGAGATTCGGGTCAGCTTCATTCAGAAGAAGTTGCAGTAAAATTGATGTTAATTTTTCTATTAGATCTTCTCTAGGTTCCATTTCATCCCGAAAGGAAGAATAAGTGGACTTCAATTGTTTAAAAACACGTTCAAGAAGGGAAGTCCCTCCTTTGTCCAACACATTCGCAGAAGCGCCATTTTCCAGCAACATATTTACAACACTTGTTTCTCTCGCTGAATCTGGGTGCATGAATAATCATATTTTGGTTATACCATTACATGTATTTTATAAATTGTTTTAATAACCATGTTGTAATTAAAAATGAAATTATAGAATGTTATATTTTGAAAGATATACCTAAAGGAAAAAAGGCAAAGATTGGCGCTTCACCATTCGTCTCGCATTTGTTGACGTCATACCCAGCTTTAATTAACATTTTAGCTGTTTCAAAGTCCCCTTGCATGCAAGCAAAATGTAATGTAGACTCTGAGGTGGTTGGAAGGACAACATTCACATTAGCCCCGTAATTCAAAAGACAACTTATAAGGCTTTTGTCTTCATGTCGATCGTTGCTCGTAGGAAATTCAGCGGGAGACATTTGCATCATTAGAATTAGCAGAGGTGTTAATCTGTCATCGTTCATCACGTTCACATCTGCCCCCGCTGTGCACAATTGTGTAATCATGACTTTATAGTTGTCCAAAAAAGCAACTGCAAAATAAAATTGTACATAATTATTCAGTTAAACAAACAAGAGACTAATGGGTCCTGAATATCCAACCATGAAGCATAATTATGATGACTAGTGCTCTCCCGTGCTAATACCTTCGTTAATCTTCTAACGGAAGGATACGTCAGTTTCGTATTATCACTTAGAATACATACATCTTGTCTTTCATCTTCAGATTACATACATATACATATGCTTATACATGTATATACAAAATTATGTAAAACAAAAAGAAAAAGTCATTTTCTTTGCTACATTCCCCTGCCGTACCGTCAATCTCTGAAAAACAACCTTGACTGTTCTACCCCTTTCCACAAACATTCATAACAAGTAAACGGAGATGTCTTATCTCTCAATATTTTAATTGATAAGAAACGATTTATTTTAGCATTAAATTTTTAGAACTCGTAAAATTTTTTATTCGAGCGTACCGGGAAGTTCTGAGAATATCTGGGACCAGTTTCACAAAGCTTTTTTAAACTTTTATGTAAAAAGACAAACCCCTTTGATTTCGTTGTTTCTGCAAGCCTTGAATGTATTGGGTAGATTTTTTGGCGATTTACAGTTGATAACCCTGATTCAGAGTATTGTATTAAAAGTAAAAGTACATTTTAAGATCGTTTCTCTTTCAGAAAAGATTAATCATCTGAATTTTATTTCTAAAAGTTCCCACTGTGCCTATTACTATTAATCAACAGAAAAACTACTAGTATATCAATTGACCATAACATTAAACACGTGTCACAATATGTCCTTGTTTCCTGCAAATGATTCATGGGTCTCCTAGTTAAAGCGATGCGTAAAAAGAATGATCTACGAGTGAATATTTCAGTGAACAAAGCCGTTGTAATTTAAATTACCTGTACATAGAATACGTTTAAGAATTGTAAAAGTATTTAGTTTTATCAGATACATGCATATCCTTCTGTTTCAATAAGATCTATTTACATTGATTTGAAATTGATATCTTTGCACACTTCTCCGCCACACCCTCTAGCTGGCTAAATAAGCTATCTGATTGGCTGAGGTTCAAAACTGCGTCTCGAATTTCTACCTTGAATGTTGCAATACCTTAAATTTTGTTTAAATGCAATCTGCATTTCAAACTCTGAAATAACATATTCTTATCCATTCATTAAGGTGAAGGTATTCATTTAAGCTAAGCCACAAACTGCGTGTAACTATGCTGTTTTATCGCAGGAAACAAGATACTTTTATTTTCAGAATATTTATGCTATAAAACATATTATAGTAAGGTAATTTATTTTTAATGTTTGCATATCTTTGGGAACTAGTCTACGGAAACTTTTCAGATTAAATGTTCGCCAAAGTAAGTAAGTAAGTATTTATTTCCAACTTTGGGCCTAGAAGGCATACAAAAGCACACAAGTAACAAAATAAAGAGTGAAAATTCTAAATGAGTCAGACAATTAATGAACATTAATGATGAAAAGAATACACATGTATTTCTCATGATAAATTAACTTTTCTTCTTTTAAAACAGTTATGAATGTAATTTGAAAAAAATTGTGATAACATTATTCTTTTCATTACTCATTAACCACATAAAATTTCTAATAGGTAAACTTGATAAATTCTTACATATCGTATTGATAGCTCTTAAAATGGTTTTCGTATGCCCTGATATGCTGAACGCCAAATGTGGACATAGCTAACTCCTATTCAAAGAAATACATGTACATATGATTACATATGTAAAGAACCCCCTAAAACAAGAGTCTGCGTACATTCCCATGGAATAAAGGCATAAATGTTATTTTTGTCATGAAATGCATATTTTATTATGCACAGGTATTTTTTAAAGATAAACTTCTAATTCTGTTTGACTCAAAGGCCTCAGTTCAGTACAGGTGATAAATTCTTCCTTTTATAGCTTTTTCTTGTCTTCATGCACTTAATAGTCATATAGTTTACCAGCTATAAATCTATGAGAAAGAAAGAGTTATTTCAAGATTGATTATATGTTGTTTAACGTCCCTCTCGAGAATTTTTTACTCATATAGAGACGCCATCATTCGCCGGTGGAAAGTTGCAAATTTTGTCCTATATTCGGCACTAACGGCTATTGAGCAGAGTGGGATCTTTTTCATGCCAGAACCTACTGCAACAGGGGACCTCGGTTTGTGCGCTCTCATTCGAAAGACCGATCTCTACGTCAATGAGTAAAAAAAAAAAAATAAAAGATAGAATGCTCTTCTAACACAAAGTTGCCCCATTGGTGACCCGCTTGATTGAAAAACAGTATTATGCCGGAAAAATTCTGCACTTTATTAGTAGATTGACACCTACCATTTTGGCAACAGACGTGTAGAGCTGTATTTCCACCTTCTCCTTTGTGGTTAAGATCCGCTCCTTGAGCTATTAGTATATCGACTATTTCCCAAAAATGTTTCTTGATTGAAAGGATAAGTGCCGAGTCTTTGAATGTTTCAGTACCATTTGGAATAGCTCCGAATGATATCAGCTTCAGTATGTTTTCATAAACTGTCGCTTCGCAAAAATCTTCCAAGATAGCCATAGCTATTAGCGAATCCTTTAACTGGCTTTCAATTTCCGACACTGGAACTCCACTCTCAAGAAAAGCAAATATTTGGCCTAAAAAGTATAAAAGTTGAAGTAAAGTACAAAAATATGATTGAAAAACAAGAAGCAATTTCAAATAATTAATTTTCTTTCTATTTTCTATACAAACTAAAACTCAACAAGTAGTATATCATAAATAATCCGTAAGGACTCCAAGTTAGTGCTTCACAATAGAAACGGCAATCGAAGTGTTCCAATGTTAACTTTTATGAAAAAAAAATTCATCAGCCTTTATTACTTAAAAAGGAAATTAACAAAGAGTGTAACTCCCCTTTCCCCATCGTTTAAAATGATTTCAATTTGAAGGGGAAACCAGAAGTCTCTGTCGAGACTGTAGCTCTACTGGTTTATACTTAAAACAAAGGGAGAGAAAAGTAGCAGTTGGGACGCGAGACTTCAAAACAGCAATCAATAGAAAAATGATCCTTGCCACCCATCAAAATAAAAACGGATAAAAGAATTATGTATCTTAGTGTAGTCTACTATTGTGCCAAGTTATATTGAAATCGGACCAAAACTGTAGGAGGAGTAGCATTTTGAAAGAATTTCAGAGAAATTTCAATTTTTAGTAACCATGGCAACACCATTCATCGAAATCAAAAACCGATGCACAGAATTATGTATCTTAGTGCAGTCTACTTGTGTGCCAAGTTATATTGAAATCGGACCAAAACTGTAGGAAGAGTAGCATTTTGAAAGAATTTCAGAGAAATTTCAATTTTTAGTAACCATGGCAACACCGTTCATCGAAATCAAAAACCGATGCACAGAATTATGTATCTTAGTGCAGTCTACTTGTGTGCCAAGTTATATTGAAATCGGACCAAAACTGTAGGAAGAGTAGCATTTTGAAAGAATTTCACAGAAATTTCTACTTTTAGTAACCATGGCAACACCGTTCATCGAAATCAAAAACCGATGCACAGAATTATGTATCTTAGTGTAGTCTACTTGTGTGCCAAGTTATATTGAAATCGGACAAAAACTGTAGGAGGAGTAGCATTTTGAAAGAATTTCACAGAAATTTCTATTTTTAGTAACCATGGCAACACCATTCATCGAATTCAAAAACCGATGCACAGAATTATGTATCTTAGTGTTGTCTACTTGTCAGCCAAGTAACATTGAAATAGGATTAAAACTGTAGGAGGAGTAGCATTTTGAAAGAATTTCACAGAAATTTCTATTTTTAGTAACCATGGCAACACCCTTCATTGAAATCAAAAACCGATGCACAGAATTATGTATCTTAGTGTAGTCTACTTGTGTGCCAAGTTATATTGAAATCGGACAAAACTGTAGCAGGAGTAGCATTTTTGAAAAATTGTTTACAGACAGACCGACCGACAGACGGACGGACAGACAGACAGACGACGGACGCATTACTATCGCATAAACTCTTCTGGTCTCTGACCAGTAGAGCTAAAAATGATACCCTCGAAAACTTGGAGATATTTGCCGGTTATGCCACTGAGTGCCCCTGAAGCCATGAGTTCTTTACACAGAAAGACATGACAGCTGGTTAATCAACTGAATATGGAATAATGTTTTTTTAATAAATAAATTATAATTGGAATTGTGTTTCAGTATTTTTATTCAGTAAGTAGAAATATCTCATCAAAACCCTCCGAGTCGCCCGCGTGGCGCTGTAAGAGCGTCTGCTCTAGAGTCGCGAAGTGAGGAGTTGATCCTCACGTCGCAGGTTCGAATTCTGGACCAGTGCTCCATGTCGCGACTAAAATGGTCGCATTTGCGACCAAATAATTGATTTCCACATTTGAGACTTGGAGACCGTCCCTTCGGATGAGACCGTATAAACAGAGGTCCCGTGTCGCAGTAGGTGCTGGCACAAAAAACCCTCCTTGCTCAAATGGCTCCGAGTGTCGAGTATAGTATAAAATTTGCTCTCCGCCAGCAAATGGTTGCGTCTCCATGAACACAAATTCTTGAGAGGGACGTTAAACAGTATACAATCAATCAATATAGCTCTCACAAATATATTGTAGATAGAAATTAATTTGTGAAAATCTCCCCTTCCTTAATCAAAATTTTTTAGATGCACGATAGGAACGGATGATGAAGATCAATATATTTCAGTAATGAATTTCTTTATTGCAAATATAAGCGTCAGTTGAAGCTCTAGATAAGGACTCTATCTGCCTTTTAGAGAATTTGTAACAACAAGTGTTGTCATGTTTAACCATTATAATGAATTGTAGATATACTAAGTATATCACTTGCCTAGATTTTTACAGCACTCGATGGCAGTCTTCCCTCTACAGCCATTGCTGATGCAAGCTCCTGCCTGGATGACAGCTTTCACTGTTTCTTTGTCTCCATTGTTTTCTAACATGAGCCCAAGCACAGAAGAACCACAAGTGGAAAGATCATCATTCGGATCAGCTCCTTGTTTCAAAAACTTGGGAACAAGGTTAGGACATTTTAGTGCAGCCAAACATAGGGTTGATATATTCGAATACCGCTCATTATCAAGTCGTATGCACCCAGAAATATCAGCTCCTGCATCTAATAAAACTTCAACATTTTCAGTTCGCGAGTGTTTTAGGGCCAAGTGAATAGCCCTTTCTCCGTAGAGCCAATTTTCATCAATATTTGCTCCATGATTAATCAGAAGTTTTAACATTTGTGGATTGTTTTGTTTTTCACATACCCAGTGAATTGCTTTATAAGAGTCATAAGTACCTAGATTAACATCTGCTCCGTGCTTACAAAGAATTTCTGCTGAAAGATAATCGTTCATCATCACTGCGTTCATAAGTACTGTTGTGTTCAAACACTTGATTATGAAATTAACGTTGAAATCCCTGGGTAAAGTATTGCATAACTCTCGGAGTTTTTCAACATCACCTTCGATTACTGCCCTTGTTATCTTTCTCTCATAGTCCGCTGTTTCGTTTGAAAATTCTCCCGAATCCATTTTGAATACCATCCGATTGCAAACCGAAAGTGCTTTAAAATATTTGTTTAAAAACCACTTATATACCTCTCTTCTGTGGACTACTTCCGCCTTCGTATGGCCGATACAAAAGAGGATTTAAATATAACTGGAACTGTCCAAAAGGACAAAATACCCCCGCTGGGTTTTTCAGAAGTGCCAAATCATGAATATTTTATGGATCTAAGAGAAGAGAGAAATTCTAAAACATTTTTAGTGCAAATGTAATTGCTCAGTATATCTCTTATGAATGAAATGAGGGTGCAGCCTAATAAAGACTTAAGATAAAGACCTATTCACCGTATATTTATAAATCTTTAATTTGCAAAATAATTCAATCCAACGCACTTCGTGCAGATGTCAACTACGAGAGTATTTCATAGAGGAGTAAGGATTTTTTTTTAAATGTCTTTTTTGTGATTGAGGTAAGAATTTTGAAAAACTAATTCAGAACTAAGCAGAACTTTTTGTGTGCAATAAATATACAGTTTTTTTTTTCAACGGTTGGCACTGTAGCTCTCCGGTCTGTAAAAATATATTTTTTTGGAAGAGATACAGATTTGCAGCTAGTTTCTTCTCCCAATGGGGTGCCTCAGTCTCAAATGAGATGATAGCTTACCACGTGATTCACAGATAAAGCAAACGTGATTCGTACAGCAGCAAAATTTTTACGCTCTTGGATTTTTCAGTTTTAATTGTGTTCTAGTTTAGTGCTATAGTTTAGTTTTGATTATATGTGTGAACTTTTTATTGGATTCTATTCGTGATTGCAAGACGGATTACCTATCTTTGGAACTTTCTTGATTGAACATTATATATCATAAATTGTCTAGTGGCGACGCGCCCAAAGACATGAGCACAGACTCTGAAACAATGGCCGTCAATGGCAATGATCGTAATGCTAAAGATCTCAAAGGTGACGCACCTGAGACAGCTGTGGAATCACTAGTTGCCACAATGCAAAAACAATTGTCAGAAAATCAAAAAACAATGCTGTGTCTTACACAAACTGTACAAAAGATGCAAGAACGCATGAATGGCGAACAAAAAAATAAGCATGAAAAGGGGGAGAAGCGCAAGGCGCAGGATAAACCCCAGTCTGCATCAACAAGTAAAAAGCAGGCACCTGACTGTAGTAAGTCCGAGTCGGAGGCAAACGAAAAAGACGAATTTGAGGAACTTCTATCTGAAGTGACGGAAGAAAAAGAAAGTGATCCAGACGATCTGTTAGAAGAGCTGGCAGAATGTTTTGGTTCTGATGACAAATGCAGCGAACCAATTTATGAGAAATTGGCAAAAGTCGCCAATGAAGGCATGCGGACAAAATTAAACAATGACAAAATAAAGGAGATCGGTGAAAAGTATAGCAGACCGAAAAATGTCGCAAATCTGATCACACCTAAAGTGAACAGCGAAATCTGGGCACATCTTAACAGGAAAGTCAGAACACAGGATGTCCGACTTCAAAAAACCCAGGCACTTGTGTGCAAAGCTATTGTGCCACAACTCCAACAGCTGGATATACTTCTTAAGTCAAAAAAGAAGGGGGGTGAAACAGCTCCGATTGGCGAGGTTACGAAACTAGCGATGGATAGCCTCAAATTAATGATTTTTGTATATTGCGACCTTTCATAGTCGAGCTGATGGTTCAGCCGGACAAAAACGAGGAGTTTAAGGCTTTGTGCTCCAATGACCATCCGGTGACTGACAACTTGTTCGGAGACGACCTTGGGAAAGTTGTTGAAGATATTGTTAAAGGCAATAAAGTAGGGTCGAAGATATCCGGAACGTTTCCTAAGGATAGAAAAACCTTATAACAGGAAACCTTTTGGCCATGGTTACAAATCAAATTACACTCAGTACGGAGGATCGGGAAAACAGTCCCATTTTTTAGGCCACAGATCCACTCCTCATTTCCGGAAGTAGGCCCCGAGCACTCGATACAAACAGCGGAAATGAAAACTACAAAAGAAGTGAGTAAATTTGATATGAATTTCATGAACACAAATGATAATTTCCAAGCAGGGAAAATATCCCAGTGTATTGAAGCTTGGACAGAAATAACTTCTGATGCTACAGTACTATCAACTGTTCGAGGGTATTCCATAGAATTTGATGAATTTCCCTATCAAATGTGTTCACCAAAACCAATTCAATTTAACAATGAAGAAATGATTTTGGTAGATCTAGAAATCAAACAATTATTGCATAAGAAAATTATCGAAGAAGTGATAGATTCGGATGAAAATGAATTCTTATCAAATATCTTTATCAGACCAAAGAAAAATGGGAAATATCGAGTAATTCTCAATCTTAAAAATCTGATTCATTGCGTAGAATACCATCATTTCAAAATGGAGACATTAAAAGCCGCAATAAATTTAGTGACCAAAGATTGTTTCATGGCCTCAATAGATCTACAAGATGCATATTATTCCTGTAAGATCAATGCTAATGACAGAAAATATTTACGATTTTTGTGGAACGGACAAAAATATCAGTATACATGTTTGGCAATGGGATTAGCGTCAGCGCCCAGAATATTTACCAAATTAATGAAACCTGCATTTTCAACTTTACGGAAACAAGGTTTTACAATTAACAAACTCTGTAAATATTGGCTCACATCATTTAGTTTGTAGATTTTTGAGAGGTGTTTTTATAATGAAACCTGCTTTACCTAAATATAGTGTTACATGGAATGTAGATATTGTGTTGGATTATTTGAAATCTCCAGAACCTTTGAAGGATTTGACCTTGTTACATGTATCTCACAAATTATTAATGTTACTTGCGTTATTGTCAGGAAAAGGGGTCAAACGTTGCATTTAATAGATATAAGAAATGTACATGTCGATGACAAATTTTTGAAAATTGTTATAGGTGATCTATTGAAAACATCAAATCCTAAGTCACATGTGGGCGAACTCAATTTTTCAAGCTATCCTCGTGATGAAAGTTTATGTGTTGTTCGTGTTATGAAACACTATCTTCTAAGAAAGAGTAACCTGAGAAATTGTGTTACAAACTTATTCATTACAACGCAGAAACCCCATCGCGGGGTGTCCAGGGACACTGTCGGCAGATGGATGAAATCCGTTATGTGTGCGGCTGGAATTGACATTAACATATTCAAACCCCATAGTACTAGGGCGGCGTCCAGCAGCGCAGCGCTTGCAAGCAAACTTCCAATGTCTACCATCTTGAAGACTGTTGGATGGAAAAGTGACTGTGTTTTTAGAAAATATTATAACAAACCTATCATTGTTGATGACAATTTTAGTCAGAGAATGCTTTCCAAATATGATCAAGTTTGAATGTCACATATATGTCATGTATGCCAGTGTTTATTTCTTTTTAATAGATTTGAAACAAATTTGACTTCTGCTTTATATTGATTATTACTGAAAGGCAAGAGGATCTTTATGATATAACTAAATCATAGACATTATGAATTACGATTATTTATACGTGATACACAGCCAAAGTAGGCTTTAACACGGATGCAAGTTTAACTTTATATTAATACTTATAGAAAACTGAAAAAAATTGGATTTATCAACTCTAAAGTCTCATTTGAGACTGAAGCACCCCACTGGGAGAAGAAATTCTGAAGTTAAACGAGACTTACCTGGAAGGTGAAGTTTGACTGGAATTTCTTCGACCAATTGGGGGTGCAGAGGGATCAAATGCCCTCCCGTATACTTGCAGTATACACCCACCCGTAAAGTATAAATTGATAAATCCAAATATAATTCTAAAAGTATGAATCACGTGGTAAGCTTATCATCTCATTTGATCCCTCTGCACCCCCGATTGGTCGAAGAAATTCCAGTCAAACTTCACCGTCCAGGTAAGTCTCGTTTAACTTCAGAATTACACAGTAATAACGATGAACATTATATTTAATGATATTAACAAAACAAGAGGCCCATGGGCCTTATAGGTAACCTGAGCATTATGCAACAACTTTCCAGTGATTAAATTTAATTCATCATAACAATACACTTAGCAGTTGCTTAGTTTGTTTACTTAATACCCATACACAAGGTAGGGGAACAAAAATGCATTTCAACTAATCAGTTATATTCAGCAATAATCAGTAGTGCCCCTACCACACATGAACCCCTGACCCTTAGGCCTTGATATTTGATTAATACCAAAGCAGATTTCAAACCATTCATTTTTGCTACATAAGTACAGCCCCCCTCCCCTTCCTCTATGGTACCCCTGACCCTGGGGCCTTGAAATTCCCAATTCTGGAAGATTAGGGCCCTTGTAGATCATAACTATGTAGGTAGTTCATCTGCTTAATACCCTAGAGCAGAGAAGAAAATTTTTAAAGATTAAATGAATTTTCACTATATAATCTATAGAGCCCCGCCCTAACACCAAAAACCCTGGGGCCATAAAATTCATAATTTTGCTAGAGGCACTCTTGCTCATCATAACTATGCACTTAGTTAGTTTATTTAATACCCAGGAGCAATGAAGAAGATTTTCAAAATTCCTGTATTTTCACTATATAATCAATAGAGCCCCACCCTAACACCAGAACCCCTGACTCTGGGGCCATAAAAACAATTTTGGTTGAGGCACTCTTGTTCATCATAACTAACTTAGTTAGTTTATTTAATAAGATTTTCAAAGAATTCATGTATTTTAACTACATAATCTATAGAGCCCCGCCATATGACCCTGGGGCCATAAAATTCACAATTTTGGTAGAGGCACTCTTGCTCATCATAACTAACTTAGTTAGTTTATTTAATACCCAGGAGCAGAGAAGAAGATTTTCAAAGAATTCATGTACTTTCACTATATAATCAATAGAGCCCCCCCCCCCCCTAATACCCGAACCCCTAATCCTGGGGCCATAAAATTATAATTTTGGTAGAGGCACTCTTGCTCACCATAACTAGGCACTTAGTTAGTTTATTTAATACCCAGGAGCAGAGAAGAAGATTTTCAAAGAATTCCTG